TGGGAAGATTTGGGGGGGGAGAGGGGGAGCCACTGAGCATCCTGGTTCTGTCTCAGTGCCCCATGATGCATGGCTTTACATCCCAGCAGTCCCTGTGCTTCCATCCACCTTTGGTGCCATCTGTCAGTGGCTTTTGTGCTGCATGCTCTGCCTCATTTGTCTCCAGGAATGGAACCCCAACTGTTAAAACAAAATGCTGATAGGTCTCACTAACACATCACAAATGGCAGTCAAGTTATTCCTTAAGCTGCAAAGTGACAATGGGGCATCAGGTACTGACCTTGCCATGCATCGTACATATGACACATGATTTCTTGTGGCATTCACAGAGGTACTGACCTTAGTGGAATGCCACTTTTGGGCTCAGGAAAGAAGCACTGAATTGTCGGATCATATTGTCATGAATGTCTGGGATCACGAGCAGGGCCTACAGAACTTTCAGATGAGGAAAGCTACTTTCATGGGACTGTGTGATGGGGGCTCACCCTCACCCTGTGGTGCAAGGACATGAGAATGAGAACTGTCCTATTGGTGGAGAAGCATTTGGTGATTGCACTGCGGAGGCTGGCTACTCCAGACAGCTACTGATCAGTCACAAATCACTTTGGAGTGGGAAAGATGACCATTGATGGAAGCGTGCAGGGCCGTCCATCACATCTTGCTCTGAAAGACTGTGACTCAGGACAACCAGCATGAAATTGTGAATGGCTTTGCACAGATGGGCTTCCTGAGCTGCGGAGGGGTAATAGAGGCACACACATTCCAATTCTGGCACCACCCCACTTAGCCTGCGAGCACATGAACCAGAAGGTGTACTTCTCCAGGTGCTTGTGGATCACTGTGAGTGTTTCACAGACAACACAGGCTAGCTCAGAAAGGCGCATGACAGATACGTCTTTCGGAACACTGGCCTGTTCAGGAAGCTGCAAGCAGGGACTTTCTTCCCAGGCCAGATGATCACTGTGGGGGAAGTTGAAATGCCATTGTGATTCTGGGAGACCCTGCTTACCCCTTAATGCCATGGCTCACGAAGTCACACACTGGGGCCCCTGACCGAAGGAAGGGGCATTTCAACAACAGGCTGAGTGCAGAAAGACTATGGAGTGAGCTTTTGTCCATTTAAAGCTCACTGGTGATGTTTAGATGGGAAGCTGGACCTGACCAATGACAACATCATTTTGTTCATAGCCATGTGTTATATCCTCCATAATATTTGTTAAAGGAAGGCTGAAAACTTCACTCAGGGCTAGACTGATGAGGCTCAGTGCCTGGAGGATGAGTTTGAACAGCCTGAGACCAGGGCTATTAAAGGAGCACAGCATGGGATTATAAAGATCAGGGAAGCCTTGAGGCAGCAATTTGACACTGAAAGCCAATCATATTTCTTGCTAAACACAGGAGTGCAGTGGCTTTAATGCTAGTGGGGGGACACCAATTGGTCCCTATGATACACTTAGTACAATAGTGCTTTGTTGCTTGGCTGGGATGTGCCTGCTTGTCTTCTGTATGGGAATAAAGAATGCTTTCAAATCAAAGAATCGCATTTATTAAAAACAACAAACGTAGGACACACGCACACACAGCACGACACATTTACAGGAGGAGGAGGTGAGGCCACGGCACATTTATAGATTTCTGTGTATCCAAGTATCACGTAGAGCCATGTGGTCTGATGTGCTGTGCAATGGGTGCAGCAGTTCAGAAGGAATAAAGTGCACAGGGATGGAAGTGCAATGCACTGGCTGCCTGTGGGAGTCTGTAGGGTTGGACAGGGAAGGGCCAGGTGTGGAGTGCAGTGGGTGCTGACTGGGGACAGGATGGTGGCCAAAATGTGTTGGCGGGGAGAGGGGACACATGGAAAACAATTTTGGGACACCAGCTGCAACAGGGGGCAATCCTGGAGCTGCTCCATCTGCAGTGCTAAGCAGCACCTGGAGCATATCAGCTTGGTGTTCCATAATGTTTAAAAGCCACTCCACAGCTTTGTTCCTGTGTGTAGCATTCTCCTTTCACTCCTTCCTCTCATTTTCCCTCCACTCCTTCAATTCTCTCTTTTCAGCAGCAGCCTGTACTAGAACCTCACAAATCAAGTCATCTTTACTTCTCAGAAGATGCTTCCTTGCTCTGTGCAGGCATTCATCAGGTGATAACAAGGAAGGCTGGGATCCCAAGGTTAAAGCTGTGAAGCCAAAAGGCTACATTTTAAAGAGGAACCATTGTTAAAATTAAACAAAGTTTAAACACAAGCACTCTTCACATACCTATCACTGACTGGCTGGCCCAGGGTGAGGCCACATAAGACACAAGACCCCCAAAAGGATGGTCAGGGGACTTCATTGAGACAAGGCCTCACTGTAGTCTGGGCAAGTGTGTCTTGGGGACAGTCAACACTGCGGAGGAGATATTGTGCAGTAAGCAATGTCCACACATTTCCCACAGTCTGTGATGATTCTGGAAGGTATTTCACTGCTGAGGGTGAGAAGGGAAGCAAGGGAAAGTCTTCTGTGAGACTGCAGCTTCCATTTTGACCCTTACGCAGCATGCCTATGTGCAGCAATGGTCTCCCCACTTACAGCACAGCAGCATGGAAATGTTACCCTTATGGGATACTGAACACAGCAGCTTTGCCATGGAACCTCTAGAGGTGAACAGCATCTCTATGACACTTGCAATGAGACGTGTGAAGTCAATTACCGTGAAGTGACTAGTCCTGTGTTGGTATCAGCACCACAGACTCAAGCCTGCTTTCTGCAACCTGCCCATATCCAACAGCTTACATCAGCGCTTCCAGAAATGAAAGCCACTTACCAGGCATGTCCTTTGCTGCTTGCGCTTCCCCAGCCTCTGACTGTTGCTACTGGCTAGCCTCTTCTGGGGTAAAAAATGGCTCCTAACTACAGGCATCCATGGGATGCTGAGCTGTCCTCTTCACCTGGACCCCCCCTCAGCACCCTCATCCATGATTTCCTCCTCCAGGCTCAGTCCCCTCTGGGGTAGCCCCTGAGGTTCTGAAGTATCCACAGAGATCTTCAGAGAGGAGGTGGGTTCACCCCCCACTATTTCATTCAGCTCCTCCTAGACCGGTAGTTTGTGGGTGTAGCACGGGAGTGGAGGTTTTTCTCCTGTGCTGTGTGGTGGGCTTTTATCCTGTGCTGTGTGCAGCTCCTTCAATTCGACCCAGCACTGCAGTGAGTCCAGGTCATGGTCCCTTTAAGTCATGCATCTCAAGTTCTTCCCATGTATCATAATTCCTACCGCTGATGAGCAGCTGGGATTGAACAACCTCCTTTCTCCAAATGTTGATGAGATCCAGCATCTTGGTATGTCTCCAAGTAGGGGATTTCCTAGTGTGGAGCAAGCATGGTCACCTGGAAAGATGTGCTGAGAACACATCATGCATCCCTGAGCCTCCCTTTGACAGCAGCAGATGTGTCTCCTTTTTCTGTTTCAGATTTCTGCCATGAGTTGTATTTGAACTCAGAGTGCTCATTTGCTGTTGGGTCAATGGCTGAAACAATCTCTTAGAGCCTCATATATCCTGTGAATCTTAGTGTGTTCCTCTCTCATAGGTGGAGTGTATGAGTGCATGAGCTCTTCTTCTAAAAAAGGCCAGTGGGTGTCATGGTGTCTGACAGAATAACCCTTGAGCATTTGAGACACATCTCTGGTGCGATTTGAGCCTGAGGCATGATCTCTGTGTGCAAAACTACACAGGCAGAATGTATCAACTTTAAGAAAAGCTCTTTCTCCCCATACTCAAGTGGCTGCATTAAAAAAATTCCTTGTTTAAATGGTCCCAAACTCAGATCTTGATCAAACCCAGCAGCCTCATGAGACATACAAAATTTCAAGGCAATCCAAGTAATAGCATGGATTTTAGAGCTCTTTCAAGCGTCAAGCTTTAAACAGAAAACCCTCTTGACCCTAACTGAAACAGAGCTGCTACAACATTCAAGGATTACAAGAAGTTTTGTGGTTGACTGTTTTATGCTGCAGATCTTCAGGCACACAGAGAAAGGTGTTCAACACGATCAATGTACAGAATCTAAGGAAAAAGTGGAAATCCACTCTAATAAATATAGTAAGGGAGCTTGGTAAACTGTGAGCTACTTTTCCGGACAAGTGTCAGTATAAGTGTTACTCCAAAACAAAACTGAAGTACAAAAATGAAAGCTGGATACATTCATATTCTAAAAACACACTCCCTGGCTTCATAATATAGCTTCATGCACACAGTATTTTATAAAATTTCTCACATCTGGGCTATTCATTTTTCTGTAGAGATACTGAAAGACTACTCTCTTTCACTCTCATATTTGAAAAGAGATTTCATGGGAAGGAAGAGCTATGCGGATCAAGAGCATACCATAAAA